CAGGGTGGCTGTGGCTACAGTGTAGCTTGCCATCACCAGTGTGTGAATGGGTGGATGACTGGATATGTAAAGCGCTTTGGGGTCCTTAGGGACTAGTAAAGCGCTATATAAATACAGGCCATTTACCATTTACAAACTGTTTGTATTTAACCTAGAAAATAAAGAGAGAGAAAGTGATGCTTTCATATTAATATGAAGTGACTTTGATATTATTCTGCTTTTTGTTATAGTTTGTATAACTGATTTTGGACACAGGGTTGTACACTGTTTGCTTTTGCACATCTACCAGAGAGCACAGCACAGAGAAGTTTTGCCTGGCATGTTTTTACATTTCACAGTGGATGTTGATTTGATTCACTTCCCTCATACACAAACACGTACTGTGTCTTTCTGTGAGCAGCAGATCACAGATGAGGGGCTCATCACAATTTGCCGGGGTTGTCACCGCCTGCAGTCTCTGTGTGTGTCAGGTTGTGGCAACATCACAGATGCCATCTTGCATGCTCTGGGACAGAACTGCCCCCGCCTCAGGTGACGTCACACACCTACACATCAAACTTTGTTCTGAGTTTTGCGAGAAACTGCAAAATATTTAATTGGTTTTACATAAAATCTTTGTTTCAAGAGTGTTTATCCTGGCTGCCTGATGTTCGGGAGACTGTTCGTACGCTTTCAAATTCCAAAAAGAAAGACCTGAATTCTCATTTTAAGCTTAAAGATTGCAGGATTGAGGTAATGGAATGGAAATAAAAGATATTACACTGACCCGTCTGCAGTACAGATATCTTGAGGCCTGTGACTGTAGAGCCAGTTACCTTTTTAAGTGTGAAAGAACTCAAAATTTTGGACTCTAAGTGATCCTTCAACTGTATAACTCTTCATTGTGTTCCTCCTTTTAGAATATTAGAAGTGGCTCGCTGCTCTCAGCTTACAGACGTGGGCTTCACTACATTAGCAAGGGTGAGTGTGGTGTCTGCCTCTTGGTTGCATTGCAGATAAATGGCAAGCAGAACTTTGGATCCAACAAAATCCTTTAACATGTATAAATCCATAGTGATTATGCAATCTCTCTTCTTCTGTTATTTCTCTCTATAGAATTGTCACGAGCTTGAGAAGATGGATTTAGAAGAATGTGTGCAGGTAAATAAACAATATGGTATATAATGGTTGAACTGTTTTCTCCTTTTCTTCGCTTAAGAGAATTGTGTTTCTTTCACTTTTGCATCAGATCACAGATGGAACACTCATCCAGTTATCTATCCACTGCCCCCGTTTGCAAGTTCTGGTAAGTGTGTGCTTGCCACTCAAACATATTTTGCTCCTGCAGCATTTTCAAGCATAATGTCATGGCTGTTTTCATAGACAGTTTAGTAATAGACCATTTGTATTGGTACCACAATGTTCCTGCAGAGTCTGTCCCACTGTGAGCTGATTACTGATGATGGCATCAGACACCTCGGCAGCGGCCCCTGTGCTCACGACCGTCTGGAGGTGATAGAGCTGGACAACTGCCCCCTGATCACAGATGCCTCACTGGAGCACCTGAAGAGTTGCCATAGTCTGGATCGCATCGAGCTCTATGACTGCCAGCAGATCACTCGCGCCGGTATTAAGAGACTAAGGGTGAGTTGTGTGGGCTACGAGTAATGAGTAAGTGCTTGTTCAGTTGCAGAATGTATGGTAAACACGAATTGTACTGCTGATGTAAATGTATTCAGTTTCTTTTTGAGCCTATAATGAATAAATCTTACCACACTTGTGAAAAAAACAATTTTCATAGGACTGTAAGCAGCCCTGTGGGTAAAAAACCCTAAATACATCCTTACTGCTTCTTCTTGAGTAAGTAGCAGCCGGGTGTTGCTACTCAAATGCACTTATTTAACTGATCATCAGCAAATGTGACCCCCACTATGAAAGCAGATGTTTCATAGTAGAGTTCATAGTGATGTTTCATGGTATTTCCAGGAGTGGACGTTCCAGTCAATTTTCACTAAGATCACACGATGCAAAGAAAACCCAAGCACTAGATTTCAGACACTGCAGGTCTCAATAAGCATTTTAAATGTTCATGACAGGACAATTGGGCAGAAATAAAAAACACTAAACAGACATGGCTTGTTTGGAAGGTTTGCCAGTAGAAAGCCTTTGTCTCTAAAAATAGGCAGCACGGCTTAGGTTTGCAGATTTGCATCTGAATAAATCACAAGGCATCTGGAAGAATTTCAGATAAGATCAG